CGATTTCGATCTTTTTGGATCTCATCAGCGCGTCGCAGGCAGCTCCGACAGAACACAGACCAACTTTTACCTGCTGTCTTAACAGTGCGTTTTAGAAAATACTACAAATGGCGCGGTAAACGCCATCTGTAGCACGATGCCACATTTTAGGATTACGTATGCTCTAACAAGGTCCACTTGTGTGGATATCTACTTGCTGAAAACGAAACTCGGCGTAGCCAACCTCAACGTGATAAGCACGTTAGCTTAATCGAATAAAATAATTCGAAGTGGTCTGTATTATTAAAATGTCAAAGTGTTTCATAGTTATCGTATTAAGTAGATTAGAAGATAATTTGAAGTTTTCGAATTATAGCACATACAATTTTCTTATTGTTTAGTATTAGATCCATGCTTTAGTAGATACACGTGAATGAATTTAATGTGGCTGCAATTTTTGCAGCGAAAAATTAATTCTACGTGTATTACCAGGTAAAAAAGTAAATTTATAATAATTCTCAAAATGTTATAAAAATTAGTTTGAAAGCCTGTAACACTGTACGTCAATTATTCTAAAAATCCACGTTCTATTTAACGTATTATTTATAGACAGAATTATTCGGTAGATAGAAAAATAGAAATAGAAATTTCTTTTGAGGTGTCCGAGAATCCGATAGCGTTTGTTTTGTCCTTTTTGCGGGCGTGTGATGTTAGTGACGGCGATTTATAACGTCCGGTATAAAATATGTTAGAATAATTGAAATGACAGTGGTTCGTTCTCCTTTTCTTTTTCGTCTTTTGTAAGTTTTTGTGAACGCCAAAGAACTTCTTAGACGCGTTTATTTTGGACAAGGCTTTTAGTGCTTAACGCCCAAACGTTTCGTTCAATTTTATTTTTACCTTTACGGAGATGGATCAGAGCTAAGAAGAGATTTTTGTGTCAGTGGCGTGCTAGTTTAAAAAACACAGAAAGAAAGTAAATAAGTATGATATGGTATTTTTGGGTCTCATCAGCACGTCGTAGACATCCATTTATAATGACATAGATACTTATTGTTAGATAACCATAAATTTCTAAGTAATTTTGACTTTTCAATGAAGACCATTATTCATGTTGTAAGTCCATCATCTAATTCCGCGTCCGTTTCATGGAAATAATCTTGGAACG